TGCTCAGGCCCTGCCTCAGGCCTGTTGCATCGGAAAGTGGGGAGTGGAGCTGAGCCAGCCCTCCGGGTGCTTGGGCTGCCTCAGAGCTCCGGCCACAGGGAGGTCCAGGCAGGACCAGGGGGGACTCAGTCCCTCTCTGGTTCAAGAAATTGAAGGTAATAGATATTCTCTGCAGCCGGTGAGTCGATATGGACACGTAGCTCCAATGTACTGGTTGTGTGCCAGACAAAGAAAACAGGGAAGTGCTCGGGTGGGAGGATGGGACTGGGCAAGGGGACCCCAAAGCCTGTAGGGGGCCGTCAGGGCGGCCCCTCGAGCTCTGGGCTGGGTCTGGGGCTCCACCGATGCAGGCAGACTCCGCAGCCGTTGGTGGCTCTGGGTCCGGGCCCTCGGAGGAGTCCTGAGGAAAAGGGTGTCATTTAGTCGTATCAGGATATTCTCACAGATATGCATTTCCCATCATTCCCTTCAGTTCAGGGATTAAGAAAAATAGCACTTGGCAGACACATGAGAAAATAACAGTGCAAGTTTGTAGAGGAAGGATCTGGACCTTCTTGGTCAAGGTGGTTTAAAACTTTGATATCCAAGCACCTTAGAGACCCTGTGGCCCAGTAGCCTTAGTAAATGGCTTTTACTGCTTACAGAACTTCGGTCCCTCGTGCATGCTTTAGTGCCCATACAATTAGACAATGGAGTAACTCGAAGGTTGAAATCCTCCCTGTCTGTTATAAAAAATCTCTTTTATACGCATATTTAAAATCCTGGCTCATCATTTCGAAGTCAGACGATCCTGCCCACCAGGCAGCGTGTTCTGACTGTGACCTTGTGCAGCTTCCCTGCTGCCCCCCCAGCCTCCGCCCCCCTGAGTCACAGAACATGGACGTCATTCCGTCCTTGTTGGTGGCTTCCTGTGGCTCTGTTCGAGCTGTGTCTCATATTTGGCCATTGAGAGTGGAAAGGTTTGGTCACGTGGCAGGCCATTTTAATTTTCTAAAGTAACTGTATCGGAAGGAGCCAATTAACACAAACACAGATGATTGGTTTTCTGCAGTTGATGTGAAGGGGAGGTGGGTCTAAACTATTGGAAGGTCTGAGGTGCAGCTCTCGAAAGATGGAAAGGGAACCGGGCACAGCAGCCAGGCCCAGGACTGGTCTTTGGGGTCCTTCTTTAATTAATAGACTGCTTTGTGATTCTGATGTTAGAAATGCCAGTATTTCTAAAGTGCTTCAGAAGACCTCCAAATATTCAAACACCCTTGCCATTGGCACTATTTTTGAAGGAGGGGTTTGCATGGAACAGGTCACAGTGCAATGAGTTAAGTGTTACAAAGCCGTTGTAATTTGTGGGGTTTTTTAAAAACTTCTTATCCTATTCAGTTACATTAACTGCAGCTTCAGTCAATTCAAAGTGCTCCTTATGCTAAAAATCTAATAATGTACCTCTGTGTAAAAATGTGTGTGTCACTGAATGCAGTTTTCCCCCGGAACCACCATCCCTACTGTGGCCAGATGATCCTGTCAAAAAGTACATCCCCACCGAAGCTTCTCATCAGCACCAAAGCCCAGTGTCCCCAGGAGGACAGCCGGAGCCCTGCCCCACCTGGCCGTCCCCTCCAGCGGCCTCTCCTGCGGCCACCAAGCACAGCTCAAATCCCCCCAGCTGGTGGACAGGGGGGTCAGGTCAGGAAGTGTCGACTTCATTCTACTGCAGTCGAGAGGTCCTGAAAATCACTGGGTGGAGGGGCAACAGGCTGTAGAGAGAGTTCGCGTCATCCCTGGGCTGTGGTCCTGAGGGTTAGGAAGACAGAGTGCGCCCCACCATTCTGGGTCCTTCACGAGTTTGGGAGGCTCTTCCTCCTCCTGGGCGGTGCCGTTGTTGTTGGTCTGTCCCCGTTCAGGGCCCTCCTTTCTTAATCGAGGCTCTGGCAGCCATAGGGCTTCATCGTTTACTATTCATGGGAACAGACTTGACCTTGGTCAAAACCCAAGCTTAAAGGCTGGATATTGGGGCTGCAGAGAGAACAGCAGGGAACCCGCCGGTGTGGCTTCTGAACTGCCCGGTTTTCTCTGGAAAAATCCTGTCTAGGAATCAGTGCCAAGACCTGGTGAGTGAAAAACAAGTTTTCACGATGGATCAAAAAAATGCATCTCTTAGAAAGAAACTGTGTTTATGAATGGCATCAGAGGGGGACGACGGAGAGAGAGAGAACACCCCCCTCTCAGATCAAAGGCACTACTTGTGGATGTGGTGATGGTGGGCCTAAAAGGTCAATGACTGGCTGTGACACCGGGTTCCAGCTGACGTGTTCCGTGCATTCTGCGTGTGTGCTCGCATGGACACCTAGGCTCACACGCAGCACCTTCCAGTGCGGGCTGGTCAGGGCGCTGGTCACTCTTCTGGTGGGACTTGAACATCTCTGACTCGGAGTCAAAGGACTTGTTGGGTCCCCTCTTTCAAGCTGCTTTTCTCCGTGGCCTGTGTCACCGTCTGATGGTGACACAGGCCACCGAGAAAAGCAGCAGGGTGAGGGGCACTTGAGCCTGGGAGAGGGTCAGGGACGTGATCCCGGTCTAAGACCTCGGCACTGAGAATGCTATTTCTCCGGTGCTGCCAGGCCTTCACTACACCTTCTGCTGGCTCCTGCTGATGACACCGCCGATGTCTTCCCCTCTTCCCAGGCAAAGGGCCCCGTGGCCCCTGTGGTTTGCATGTATTGGCCAGGTCCTAAGCCGTGAATGAACTATCGCAGGAGCAGTTCCAGTGCCACGAACACCCTTCTTACGGTGAGTCCTCACTCCAGGCAGACTTGCTGTCACTGCCATTTTCTGGGGGAAGGCCCCTGAGGTTCTTAAATGACATACCCAAGTCACAGAATTAAGGGCCAGAAGTTAGATGTGGAATCCAAGCCCAGGAAATGACATGGCTCCTGCCTGCTTCACTGGGGCACGCTAACCCAGCCTGGAGTGGGGGCAGAGCTCCAGCAGGGCATCGGGACTTTAAACCGGATGCTGTGTGTCAGCACATGCAAGTTACTCCGTGCTGGTGGAGTCACTGGAGTCTGCTGGACTGCAGCGGGGACTTTCCTTACCTGCTGATTACCCACCCCACCTGGCCACACCCTGTTGAGTCATCCCAGCCGGGCAGCTTATCAGCAGAGGCATCCAGCCCCCTCTCCAGTATCCAGCCCTGAATAACTTCAGGGGCAAGGCCTCCCCTCTGGCAAGGTGGAGGTCTGGCTTTAGGACGTACCGCCCTGGGGGCTGGGGACCACCACATCCCGTGTGAGATGAGAGGGTGGGTGAGGGGGCGTTGGGGACTCAGTGGGACCCTCAGGGACTCACTCAGTCACAGGCAAGGAGCTTGGAGACCCACTCAGCAGCCATGGGGAGATGGTCCTGCTTTGCTTTTAACTCGCTGGATCGCTGCACAGTCCGGCCATGTGGCCGGGGGCGGAGGAGGGGGACTCCCAGGAAGAGACCCTTCGGAAGGTGTCTTGGCTCCGTCTTCACTAGTGCGTGAGGCTGGGGAAGCCACTTGCCCTTTCTGCCCTCGGTTTCCTCACCTGTAAAAGAAGAGTACAGGGCAAAAAGAGTTTTTCACCAATTCATTCACATCCATACTTCTGCTATTTTTGTCTGTCTCTACTGGACTGCAGTGGGGACTTTCCTTACCTGCTGATTACCCACCCCACCCGGCCACCCCCTGTTGAGTCATCCCAGCCAGGCAGCTTATCAGCAGAGGTATCCAGCCCCCTCTCCAGTATCCAGCTCTGAATATCTTCTGGGGCAAGGCCTCCCTTCCGGCAAGGTGGAGGTCTGGCTTTAGGAAGTACCACCCTGGGGGCTGGGGGCCACAGCATCTTTCTCTCGTCCCAGGTCTCTGGACTTACAGCCCCTGGGCACTCACATGGATCAGACTTGGGAGGTGCTTTGAGGGGTGGTTATACTTGAATTTAAAGCTACTGAACCTTTGTTGGGAAAGGCATGCACAAGGGAAGGGCGGGAAGAATAGAGCAAAATTCCTTAAGCCTCCCTCCCGTGCCTACTGCACCCCAAGGTCCACACTCCCTGGCCACTGCCTTTGGGCACCTCTGCGTGCTGGTCCCTGCACGGCAGGGTGTGTGTAAGCCACCCTCCTCTGGGGTCCTTGGGACCAAGCTTGGCCCACCTGCTCCATGTGGCCTGGAGCCTGCAGCCTGAGGGCCTGGCAAAGTCTGGGGACCCACCTCCAGGACCCCCACCCTTACCCCCGCCCCGTGACTCACTTCTGTCCCAAAGGATGCACCCAACACTCAAGTGGAAGAGCAAAGGTGAGCCATTTTATTAAAAGCAACAATATTTAGAGCTGATCATGCGTGTGGTGAAGGATTCACAGTGCGAGCCCCTCTCCCATCCAGATCTCGCACTCCCTCGGGCCCTCACGAGCGTCTCCCATCTCCTTCCCCAGGCGATTCTTCTGTGCAGGTACGAACAGGCATCCCACCCACAGCGTTAAAAGGAACCAGGTGCGAATTATTATATTCTAGTCACTTCGCTTTTTGTCACCTAACCGTGACACTCTCTGCCAGTCCCACGGTCGTCGCAGTCTTTGTACGGCTGCACAGGGCCCGCGGTCATAGTCTCGAGTTCTGGGCCAGTGGGCGAGTCCCAGAGGGGTGCTCGCCAGCGGTGCCACCATCACGCAGCGTCACCTCCAGTCCCCCCCACTCCACCCCTCTCCCCGCTGCCATCGCCGGTCCCCAGCTCAGCAATCTGCGGAAACTTTTTCAGGGGACTCTCGCGTGAGGGACCTCCGCAGAGTCTCCTTTTAGTTTTAAGGTGGCAAGTCGTGCTGAGCAACCCCACAAAGGGCGAATTAGTGGTACCCGTAGACCGGGAAACGGAGCCTGCGGAAGTGGCCTGTGCCCCGCCCCGCCCGGGCCCGCGAGCCCAGACGTGCCCGCCTGGCCCCCGCCTCAGGCGGTCCCAGGTCCAGCCGCCCGCCCTCCTGCCCGCCCTCCGGCCGGCCCCCCTCCCGGGCGCTGTGCCCGTCCCCAAAGCGGCTCGTCACTGCAGCGAGGCCAGTGGGCTGGGCTGCACGGCTGCGCGCACTCGTACCGCGTCCCCAGTCGCTCCCGCGCTCTCCTCGGAGCAGCTCCCCGGATCCGCAGCCGTCTCCGGCCCGCTGCCTCCGCCGCCGCCGCCCGTCCGCGCCGCCATGCAGCCTGCGCATGCCTCGTCCCTCCCGCGGCGGCTGCTGCTGCTGCTGCTAGCGGCGCACCTCTCGGTGCAGCTGCCCAGGTCCAGCCGCGCGTCGCTAGTCCCCGCCGGCTGCCCGGAGCGCTGTGAGGTGGCGCGCTGCCCAGCGCCGCCGGGACACTGCGAGGGTGGCCGCGTCCGCGACGCCTGCGGCTGCTGCGAGGTGTGCGGTGCGCCCGAGGGCGCAGAGTGCGGCCTGCAGGAGGGCCCCTGCGGAGAGGGGCTACAGTGCGTGGTGCCCTTCGGGGTTCCCGCCTCGGCCACCGTGCGGCGGCGCGCGCAGGCCGGGCTCTGCCAGTGCGCCAGCAGCGAGCCGGTGTGTGGCAGCGACTCCAACACTTACGCCAACCTGTGCCAGCTGCGCGCCGCCAGCCGCCGCTCGGAGAGTCTGCACCAGCCGCCGGTCATCGTCCTGCAGCGGGGCGCCTGCGGCCAAGGTACCTGCGGGCGTGATCCCCACCCTGCCCCTGCGGAGTCTAGCTCCGGGGAGCTTCCAGGTCTCCCCATCCCGGCCCGAAACTGGCCCTTGCGGGGCAGACGGGCAAACCGAGGGGCAGGAAAACGTTGAGGGATGTTCAGGCACCCACTCGCTGGGAGAGAAGGGCGCTGACCCCAAGCAGCATGCCTCGGGGCCCCCCCTGAGCCAAGCTTTGCGCCCAGCCTGGGGTTGGTTCCGTACCCGGTGGGCGCCCAAGGGGGTGCCCAGCATGCTGTCCTGCAGTCAGGGTGACAGGGCGTCCCACCTGGTGGCCGGCTGCTGCGCGCCCTGAGGGGAACCGCACAACACTGGCCCCGGGGACAAAGGTAGGAATGGGAGCCTGCGGGAGGAGGGAAGTTCGGGACTGGGGAAGGTGAGGTCCTTGTGCCAAGCAAGCTGGAGTCGTTGGGACCACAGGGACTCATTTCTGTCTCTTTCCATTCTGCAATACTTCTCTGCATCCGACTCGCCCCCCTCCCCCTGTAAGATGATCCACAAACTCACTTTATTATGGGTCCCATCTGGGACAACTTTGTTTAACTTTTTATTCGAAAGGAACCATGCTGCCCACCCCACGCCCAAGTCTCCCCAGACGCTCTCCCTGGCCAGGCATGGGCTTCTTGCTGCAGACGCCGCTGAGGCGTGGCTGCCGGCCTTGCTTCTCAGTGTTTTGAGCCAATCCTACAAAAATGAAAGTGACTCTGCTTGAATAAGCTGAATGGGCTTTTGGGTCACAACATCAGAAGAGGTGGAAGTGTGAGGGATTAGGGATGAGGAAGAATTGTATCCCTTCTCTCTTCTCTGTATCAACAAGCTGCGTCTCCGGTGGTGGTGGTGCTGAGGGTGGAGAAACCTTCAGAGACCTTCCAGAAGGACACTTCTCTCCGGCGGAGAGACCATGTGGGTAAACAATGTGGAGTTCAGCTGCGGCCAGTCCAGCCCTGCAGGGCCAGCAGGGCTGGGCAGTGTCCCTGGCCGCAGCCACCCTCTGTCTCCCCACCGTGGGCAGTGCATGGAGAGGGGGTGAGGGGAGCCCAGCGGAGGGGCTGGTCTGGGTCTGGATTTTCTTTGTGGGAATGCGACCAACTGGGATCTGGCACGGTTTGACTCGCACTGAGGGGACGGCGCCAGGGAGTGTAGGAAAACTTGGAGAGTGCAGGGAGCCTGGTACCCGCCCTCAGGAAACAGCCTGGTTTCGGGAGGAGAGCTCCCTGCAGAGGAGTGAGTGACCGCGGAGCCTGGTCTGTGATGAAAACACGCACCTGTTGGTGCCTGCTCTGGGCTCCAGCCCTGGTGTCGGAGGTGCCCACGCGAGACCTCACTCTGTCTTCACAGCCGCAGAGGAGGGAGCCTCTGCTGCCATTCCCATTTTGCAGGTGGAGGAACTGAGGTTGCATGACGTGCCAAGGCCACTGAGCCACAGTTTGAACCCAGACAGTTTGAACCCGATACAGCTCTGAGTGCATTACTTAGTCCCAGAGCTGGGGCATAGGACAGGCGGCATGAAGGACGTTTCCAGAAGGCTGGGCCGTGCATCCCACCCAGCTGGCGTGGGGCACATCCTCAGTGGAGCCTTGTTTGGGGCGTGCTGAATTGACCGGTGCATCCAGGACAGGTGGGGAGGGCGTCAGGGGCGAAGCAGCTGCTGGCCCGGGGTCCTGAGTAACCGGTGCCTAATGTACTGCCAGTGAGGTGCGTCCCTGAGTGACGCTGGAGTTGGCGGCCATTCGCAGTCACTGTGTGGAGGGAAACAGTTCCTCTCCCTGGGTCAGGCCCTCGGCAGGCTCCCTGGAGAGCCGGCCAGTGGACAGCCACGCAAGGGCGTGTGTGGCCCTGAAAAGAGCGGGAGACAGAGAGGGTGTAGCACGGTGCTCATCCTTCCCTTTTTCTTTCTGCAAATATTTGTTGAGCTCCACAGGGTGTCTGGCTCTTTTTGTCTGTCTGCCTGCCCGCCCGCCTGCCTGCCCGCCTGCCCGGAGGAGGCGCCAGATAGGCATGCGGTTGGATGATGAAAGGATGAATGGATGAAGAAATGAGAAGTGCTTGAACTACACATCTATCCACGCTTCCTTTAATGGGAGGCTTTGCTTTTTCCACCCCCCTCTCCCCTGCGCTAGCCCTGTGCCCTTGACCTTACAGAGGTGCCCCTGAGGATAGGAGCCTGGGAGCCAAGCCTTCTTTCAGTTTCAGCCCTGCCCACCTGCAGGTCACTTGATGTCATTGTTAAATGAGGTGACTTGGCCGCCTGCTCTGGCTGAGAGCGTTGGCAGGAGTGCTGTTTTAGCAGGGAGTGTGTGTGTGGGGGGGGTAGGTCGCGGGGCATAGGAGGCCTTTTGGAGGCCTGAAGCTGGCCCTGCCCGGAAGTGAGGGAGGAGCCTCGGAGACAGGAGGCAGGCCCACGATTTCCGAGATGCTAAGGAGGGCTTGTCTGGAGCAGAGAGGAAGGACCAGGAAGGAAGTGTCCTGGGGCCGGAGGTCCCTGGGCTGGTGAGCAGTGCCTTTTGGAGGCAGGCTGGGTCTTTGGACGGTGGAGGGTGGTGTCCTTCCAAAAAAGAGTTTGTTAGTCTGTGAGCCATTTACCAAATTCTCCAGGGGGCATCTAATCATGGTCCTGGAATCGAAGGCAAATCACCTATTTCGGGAATGCACGCTGCTGTCAGGGCTCGGACGGGAGAGTGCCCAGCTGTGCTAGAGAACAAAGGGCTGTCGGCTTCCACCGTCAGCAGTTCAGATTAGTTTAAAGCAAAAGCTCTGCCCCAGTCAGGAGGTTACAGAACAGGAAGGACTTGTAACTCACAATAGTGTAATCAAATAATACGGACTCACATAGGCTCGGTGCTCGTTCTGTCTCCAGGGTCTCTGAGCCCATATGACCCTCCTGGCCATCCTGTGAGGGGCAGGGTAGCTGCCCTGTGTCACTGCTGGGAGACAGAGGCCAGGGTGGCACCTAACCCAGGACTTGAACCCGCACATCTGGTCCAGAGCCCATTCCCAATCACCATGCCGTGTGCTGACGGAGAAACGGAGGTTCTAAGCCAACCCCAGCTAAGCCTCCACTAACAGCTGGAATAAACTGCTCCAGACGGCCATGGCCTTGAGAGGAAACATGAGACACATCCCAAGTCTTGGGCAGCAGGCACGGGAGCTGGAGGACAGCCAGCCCTTGCTGAAGAAAAGCAAGAGAACAGGGGGCTGCAATAAAGTGGAGCCCTGGGCCTTAAGTCGCTGGTGGGGAGAGAATTCCCAGGCCTCGCCGGAGCCTGGCCTGGGTGTACAGCGTTGCATACTCTGCTGTGAATGGACATGAAGCCAGGAAAGGGTTCCGAAAAAGACTCCCAAACACCAGCAGCCAAGTCCATCTGTCCTCCTGGTACACGCTCCAGGAAAGCCCACAAACAGCAGCCCGGATGGGCCCAAGGGTCTCCACGCCCAGGGGCGCCCCGAGCTGGTCTCACCCGGCGCTGATGAGGGAAGGCATCTGAAGGTGGAAGCTGGCCGGGCACTGCAGGGGAGGAAGCGCAGGCTTCGATGTTTCTAAGACATCGCTCACCTGGACTGGTTGTCTTCTTTTTTTTCATCCCTAGCTGAGGACATGTTTATTATGGATGTTAGAGAGAGAGGAAGGGAGAGAGAGAAACATCGATCGGGTGCCTCCCATATGTGCCCCGACCAGGGGGATTGAACCCACAGCCCTTTGGTGTCCAGGTTGACTCTCCAACCAACTGAGCCACCTGGCTAGGGCAGTTGGTTATCTTCTTTTATTCTGAGTTGGTTTTGCTAGAGAGTTAAAATATTAAGGTTTTATAACATTAGTAAGTTAACAGCAAAAGCCAAGCGTTTGAGTAACTTCATTCCATCCAGAGAGCTGTAAATGGGTTGCATCAGAACCTAAAATAACTGCCTTCGGTCAGCGGAGGTGGTGGGGACCGTGAGCTGACTGTGGTCGGAGGCCCGGCAGCCCCGGGACTGCGGAGCTGGGCCCTGAGTCCATGTGGGGCCGTGTGGTCCTGGACACAGCACCGTGCCTTGGAGCGAGCAATCAGAGTTTCCATGAGCTTATACATGAAGTGAATAAATAGCTCTGGTCAGGCTTCATTTAAAGAAGAAATCAAACTTGGCAGTGGTTGAGCGTTCCTTGGAAGGCCAGCTGGGGTGGAGGGACCGGCAAGCGGGCAGCTGGCTCGGGCCCTTCCCCGGCTGTTACCTGACCAGGTGACCGGCCACCGACCTCTCAGGGCCTCCACCATGATGAGATAGGACCAGATGATCCCTGAGGGCCCTTCTGGCTGGACTGGGCTGTGATTCACGTAAGAAAACCAGTCTCTGGAGAATTGTGGTCACCTCATCCCTGTTTCAAAGGCTGGCTGGCTTCTTCAGGAGTTCATTTCTTTTTCTAAAATTATTGATGGTTAAAGCCAAGGTTGTCCTTGAATGCATGTGGCCCATCTTGGGCCTGGCGGCCTTGTGCTTAGTTCAGCTTTGTGCCAGCTGCTGCGAGACCCTGGACGGCCACAGTGGTGACGAGCCCATCCCCAGGAGATGAGGCTCCAGGGAACCTGGTGCCCCTCTTGGCTTCCCAGGGGCCGGGAGGCCAGGGTATGGGGGTCCGTGGGAAGAGGCCCCTCCTGAACCATTACATGTCTCCTTCCCCACCCTCCCTGCCATTAAGAAAGAAAATCAAAGAGAAACCGAGATGTGTAGCCATTCCAGTCACTTTTCCAAAAGGCCCCCCGCAGTGGCAGGAGCGCCGGTGCTGCCGGCTGACGTGGTCTCACAGGCACCGGCCAGGACATCACGCAGCAGAACAGATGTGAGTGGCAGCAAAGGGGCCCCTCTGCTGCTGCTGAGGGGCGCAGAGTTCAGCTTTTGCTATCAGTGACATGAGGTGCGTTTAGAGCATTTATTGAACACCTACTGTGTACTCGGGAGTGTCCGGGTCTGGGGAGTCGGTGGTGAGTG